TACATGTTCGGACGTGTCGCGCGGAATCGACGCATAGCTACAATTTATTTTGTGAAATTTATTTCTGTTTGTTATATCTACGGAGACTTGAGAGACTCTATGTGGTGATTTCTTGTAACCGTGAACGAACCAAATGGCGAGATAAGATTAACGAGAACATTTATTAGCTTACATACATCCTACTTGGATTTTACACAAAGGCATCTGCAATCGTGAACAATTGACGAAAAAAGTATACGTTTATCAGATAATAAACAAAGACTCATTTTGTAAACAATTTATCTTTTGTATATACAACTGACAAGATTACCTTTCAAATTATAAACAGACTTGATCCCAAGCGGTCTTTTGATCGGACATACAAAAGAAATGCACAGATGGCGCCTAACTTAAGCGCAGTTTACAATAACGAATACGATCTTAACACTCTACTATGTCATCCAAACGAACTAGAACGAAGTAGAACTGATTCTTCTGCATCAAAGAAGAAAAGAAAAACTTTATCGTTGGAATGTAAAGTTAACATTATTAAAGACTTTGATACAAAAATGAAAATTTGTGAATTGGCAAAGAAGTTTGATCTACCGGAATCGACGGTCAGAACAATTATAAAAGATAAAGAAAAAATTCTCGAAGCTGTAAAAAATGCTCAATCTTTAAATTCAAGCATCATTCGTAAACGTCACGGTATTATCGCTGAGATGGAAACAATGTTAAAATTATGGTGTGATAATCAAGTTAATGTGAAAAATTGTATAATAATATAATTTGTTATACGTATGTATTATTTAAGATTTTATTAAACATTTTTTTCTAAATTATTGTTTTCTTTAGTCTCTGGTCCCAATTAAAAATAATTTGTATGTATTTATATGCAAAATTATACCCCGACTTACGCGAATTCGACTTACGCGGTTATTGCTCGGTCCCACCTATTGCGTAAGTCCGGGGTATGACTGTATATTTTTATTAATTTAAATAGCTTTCAAAAAATTCCAAAAATAAGATTTAAAATTCAATTATTCGACAATAAACTATATATATATATATATAGGCACGTAAACAAAGTATTCCTAGAACTAGTACATTTTGAAGGAAAATAGTACATTTTTGAAGGTGCTTCAGTACGTTTTGAAATTTCATTGCAGCAACACTGGTCTTGTATGTTTCTCTTCTGTTTCGAATTACGTGGTGCTGCTAGGCACGTATCAGTAAGAAATGTTTGTAAGACCCCACTTTCGACGTAGGCCTACTAGGAAAACTTCGACCCTTACGGTTTGTTAATTTCCGTGGACAATGCTAAATTAATGTGACTTTTTACTTTACACAAGTAGTCCATTCTTGCCTTTGTTCGAAAACTTGCTTATCTTACATACAATAACAGACATAGTGTATAATGTATCAACGTATTATATCTTGAAATGTTTTTATGCGAGGTATAATACATTAAAGTACAGTCGACCCCCCTATAATTACAATCCCTATAATTACAATTCCTATAAAACTACGAAAAAATTGTGACCGGTATCCGTAAAAAACAGTAAAAACCCCCTATAATTACCTCAAACGTCATCAAGCAGCCAAACTACTTTCCTGCCGTCCGTAGCGCCACGCTACGAAGAGATTTCTATCGTCTGGACAGTATTATATAAATTATATATAAATTAGGCACTGTACATATAATTATATATTAATTATATGTAAATTAGGTACTGTATATATAATTATATATTAACTTATTGTAACTTTGTTATAATTAAATATATAATTTCTGCCGTCTAGCGTGGCGCCACGCTACGGAGATTTTTACGCTAACTATCGTCTGTCAGTATGTAAATTAGGTACCGTAAGTCTAATACAGTACTGTAATTTTATACATTTCTTGTGAAAGAAACATTTCTTATTCAACGGCGATTAAAATTATTTATATTAATGATGTCTCCGAAGTTCAAGGAACTATTCGCAGAAAAATAAGTTATTAGAAATCGGCCGCGGTTTGCTGAGCTGTTCCGCGACGAAAACAATGTTGAGCAATGGCGATGTCGAATGGTGACACTCGGTAAGTAATCCTACAATTTTTTATTTATAGCGTAGTTTATACGGATCATTTCCAAAAAAATATACGTATTTTGGAAATGTTGAGTCGGATTAGTCTAGAATCGATTAATTTTGTGGAAGAAAACCTTTCAATCAGCCGTAGTCCGTAAACTTGACGCGTGTCGAGCTGTGATTGGAACGACTCGTAAGAAATCGGATATCTAAAGAATGGAACGTATCTATATCTTATAGGGGGGTCGACTGTACAGGTATCTCTGGTATAAACGGTAGTTACGTTCCGAAAACGTGGCGTGTTATGCGAATTCATGCCATGCTAAATAATGACTAGTATCAAACATAGAATAAAGTTCCAAAAGTTAACAAAAATATATTGTATTTTTGTCATTAAGATAAATATATATATATTAAAGCTATCAACGATTCATTTTTAATTAGTACTTAATTAACAATCACAATTAAAAGCACTATGATGCGTTAATATTAATTTTAGTTAAATTAATACGTTTTCTTTTTATGAAGTATCGTCATCTTTTGAACCTTTTTGTTGAACCTGATCAGAAATATCAGCAACGTCGTCATTTTTATATTATTATCATGACATTTTTTATGGATGACAAAATAAAAATATATTGATAATCGAAAATTTTTTCTAGTGGGTCGCGTTTGTTCAGTGGAGTACCAAGCGATTTTTTTTTCCAGAATTAGTGCTCGAATACCGAATTTTTCGAGTTAGGAACAGTTCGAGTACCGAGATACCTCCGTATTTCGTTCATCACTTTTACGAATGATTACCTACCTACTATTAAAAATAGTTTAATGACACGTACTTAAAAATGTTTGAATAAACTTTACTAAATACGAAGATTAATCTATAAAAACAAAATAGTAACTGGGTTAAATGCTAAAATCTAAAAGCAACGACAACAACATCCGGTTGACAGGAAAGCTAGGACGAGGAAGAAAAAACTGTACTACCAGTTTTCATTAAATTAAACCTAACTAACAAAAGGCACAAAACAAATGGAAAATTTCAGTATTCTAAAAATCCGTGGGCAAATTTGAGACGACAAGCATGCTTATTTGAATAAAAAAGTCAAATGATAGAGACGTTTAAAAATTGTGAAATTTTTTACGGAGGATTTTTCAATTTTTCGAACCGTGTTAGAGTAAAATCGTGTTGAACGAGACATATCTGTATATAGGTTAAGGTAAACTGTGTAATGTCAAGTTTTCGAGAGAGATGGAATAAGACAATCGATATTGAAAGAAATATTTGGCAAGGGCTTCGCTGTAATTCGAATGTCTGTAGCTCGTGCTCGTTTTCTGACGTTTTTACAATGCAAAAATTTCCCTAGTTTTAAACGCAAATGAAGTAGTAATCAAACGTAAGCCGTTCAGAGAGGATACTTCCTTTCTTTAATGTCTATCGCACCACTCTCTTTCTCTCTCCCTTCTTCCACCTGCTAAGCGCTAAGCACTCTGTATAAAGCTGTAGTTTTTGTTAAAATTTCCTTAAAGTGTTTCTCAATTTCTTGATAGTAGTAGACACCCTTTTTGTACATTTTTAGTTTCAGGAAAACGAATAATAAATTTGCTATTATGTAAAGAAAATAATTTAAATGGAAAAAGTTTTTTTGTTCAATTATAAACACAACGAACATAAATTTCGTTGCTTTTTTACAAATAAAAGCTGTAGGCCTATTTAATAGTTACAAGACAATGTAACTTAACATAAGTAAAACACAAATTATACTTAATTAATATTAAGTTGTTTATAATGAAGACGTGTACTGCTCATTGTATATTTATTTTCATTTGTTAATTGGAATTTAAAAAAAACTTTACGCTATTTTTATTATACACTTAAAAAATTAATTAATTTTCCGATAATATATCGTTTGTAAACACATGTTTATAAAATATTGAACGTAAAAATTATTAAATCAAATTACTTATTTTAGTAATACACTTTTTCAACATTTTATTTTTTCTTAGATATTTGTGTAGAAAATCAAGTAGGATTCTTAGATTGCAAAAATCAAAGCAAGACATGCGAACCTACTAAAGAAGGAGAGTATTATAGATGTGGCGGTTGTTTAGACGAATATGATGTTGCTCCAAACGATAAATCAAAGTGTGTTCGTAAGTAATTATATTTTTAATCTCAATAACCGAACATTTTAAAATCAGTGAAATTAATTTACTTGTTATTAATACAGCGCGGATTTCTAGCTATTATGCTGTACGTGATAAGTTTATTTAGTAGTAGGGTTAGTATTACTATATATATGCACAAATTACAACGAATAGGTTAGACAATCTCATTCAAATGAAAAATTAAAGAGAAAGAAGGCCAAACTTTTGCAAATAATCTTTATGTTACTAACTAAAATGCTAGAAAGTGTTATTATATGATAGCTAATACTGGTAGTTTTTATTTGTGGCTGAAAACGTATGAAAATGTGTTTAATATATGAAAAGTATGTCTAAGTTGTCTGGAAGTTAAAAACTGCTTGTAAACATTTAGAAATAAAAACTTCTGCATAACTACTTTATAAATATTTCTTCATTAATCATTAGTTACTAAAATTAGTAACCTGTCATGTTAACAGCCATTTATTATTAATCACTAGCTGTGTGTGCCCAGCGTTGCTTCGGGTTTTGAGAGGTGGGGGATCGATAAACTTGGACGTTGAAGGGTTATAAAAACAATGGTTTTAGTAACTAAAATGTACTGTACATTTATTGAGTTGAGTATTTAGAATAATAAAACTGCAAACACAAAAATATTACTCGGATCTAAGTTTAGAGAAGGCATGCTTTAGGAATGGTTGATTTGGAAATAACCATAGTATTTTTATTAGGTTATCGAAGATTATTCATGCCAAATTTGGTACAGATACATTAAACGGTATAGAAACCTTTACTTAATTAACATGCATACATATTTTGACTTTTATATGTATAGATATATATGAAACTTATACCAATATAGTTAAACTTAAGTAACCGAATACACGAACATTTCAAAATATCCGTTATGCATATATATAGTGATATATAGCACAGTACTTTTTCCAAGTACTCGCATGATTCGCTAATTTCTCACTAATTACTTTTAAATATTAGTTCTCCAAATCTGATATTACAGTTCAATATTAAAACCTGCTTATAAATAATCGTTTGACGGAACAGCTGCTTATTGATATGTGTCGCAAAGAGACAGACAGAATTCCACTATAGTTTAATTTATATAATGTACATTTTGAGATCATATGTACATTTAAATCTTCCCTCGAATCAAAAGATTCAAAATATGAAGTTTGTATGAAATATGTTCAGGCGTTTTCTCGATATATGGCAAGAAGCCCAAGCTAACAAACAGACTGATCGTTAGTTTTATTTTAGCCTATATACGGCTTGTTAAATTCAGCGCTACTGCAATTGATGCTGAAAATATATTAACAACGCACACGGAGCAGCGCTGCAATTCCAAAATGACAAATCTCGATGCAGCTGTTAAAATATTTTGCGAATTATATAATTCGAAACATTAAAAAGTAATTCATTTTTGCGATGTAAAGCTTTGTATAGGAGGTAAAATTAACGATGTAACGAGAAAGGCTTAAGTTTAAAATGTGGGCTTTCTAGACCTAGTAGTGTTTTCTTTAGCATCTGCAGTGCCGAATGAAGAAAAAGAAGAAATATAGAGTTTTAACGAATTTACACTTTTTAATTGCTAATATTTCAGCAGTCCTTTATAGAAAATCTTAAAATTTTGCACTCTACCTAAGAAAAGAATTTTCTTTCGAACGAGATATTCGGTATTACTTCAACCTGAAGTTTGGGTTTGGGGCGCGAAGAAATCGGCTTCTGAAAATCGGCAAATCTTATCCATGTATATGTTATCGCTAAAGTTCCAGACTAACTAGGGTGATCCGTGAACGTGCGGAATCAAGAGTTTTCCGCATTTTACCTAGGTAATCTGCACATTACGTTTTCGTATCGTTAAAGTTCAAAAGTCTGTTTCTCTCATTTCCTTTCTCCACTCCTTCCCTCTCTCCCCCCCACTTTTAATTTGGTTTTCGTCTTGTCGTCGCCAGTTGTTTTTATTTCTCATAATTTGCGTCGCTGCCAGTGCGTCGCATAGCTAATTCTGTTTTCAAATTCATTTCTGCTTGTTAATGCATTAATTTGTAACTGGATTTTTTAAGCAGATAAATTTAACTCCTGGTATGCAAGCAAGCACCGAATTGGTTAGTAAAATGAAGAAAAGATTCTTCGCAAACCTCTTTAGCGAAGATTCAAATTAAAATAGTGTTTTAATGACAAAACGAAAGTACGATTCCATAATTGAAGATGTAAAGCGAATAAAAGTTTTCAAGAAGAAAGAATTATCTCGAGATTATCGAATAATTCAATGGTATGATGTGTTGACTGTACAAGGCTGTGAAAAACTCATTGAGCCGTTGTCAGATGCGCGAGAAAGCGTGAAAAAGTTTGTCCATGCCGAAGAATTGTTTGACATATTGTATTTGACTCATTTGTCAATTGGCCACGGTGGAAGAGACGGAATGATCAAGCAATTAAAACCATTTTATAAAAACATAACCCAAGCCCAAATAAAAATATTTTTGGATTTATGCGAACCTTTGATTTTTGTTTTTGTCAACAAAAACAAAAAAGTGCGAAAAAAGTTGTAAAGCCGATTATTTCATCGCATTTCAATAGCAGATGCCAGGTGGATCTCATCGATTACCAATCTCGACCAGATGAAAAGTTTAAGTTTCTTCTCGTATACCAAGATCACTTAACAAAATTTGTTGTATTAAAGCAGCTCACATCAAAATGGGCGGATGAAGTAGCCTATAATTTGCTTGATAATATTTTTCTCCTTTTTGGCGCTCCAAGTATTTTGCATTCTGATAGCAAACGTGAATTTTGTAATAAAATCTTAGAATGTGTAACACAGTTGTGGCCAGGAATCAAAATGGTTAATGGCAAACCTAGACACAGCTAAAGTCAAGGAAGTGTAGAACGAGCGAATCAAGATATTGAAAACATGCTAACTACTTGGATGACTGATAATCAAACTAACCAGTGGAGTGTGGGCGTAGGATTTGTATAATTCATGAAGAATCGTGCCTATCATTCTGCAATTAAAAGAAGTCCATACGAAGCCATGTTCGGTTGTCCCGCAAAAATGGGATTGTTTTCTTCTATTATACCACAAAGTGGTATTATACCACAAAGTATTATACAGTCGATAAATACTGAAGAAGACCTTGAAAAATTAGAAGATTTACAAGAGACTGTTATTATGGGATCACAATCAAATCTTACTCAAGATGACATTCCGTTATCCCCTACTTTCACAGAATCGCCTATAGAAATACAAGAATTTACCGATAGTAATCTTAAACTGCCTTCTACACCGTTGTTTGAGAAATATTCAGTTATGAAGAATATTTAGTTACCCTGCACCTCCAAGGAATCGCCTCTGCAAGTTGAAGAAGTCGTCACTGAGTTATTCTCAACTTCAGCAGAATCGCCATCACAGTTTCGTACATAGTCTGTAAAGAGCACTATACAAGAAATACTCTGTATTGTTTGCTCAAAAGCAGCATCAAGTGCTCACAAGTGTAAATCGTGTGATATATTTGTTCACGTAGTTTGTGTTGAAGTAGATCCTAAAGAGGAAGGATATGGTAAGAATGTATTGTGCAACATCTGTAAAAAGAATATGGATCAGAAAATACAGCGTGATGAAGCCAAGAAATGTTTAGATAAGCAAGCAAAGAAAATGTTAGCAGTTTCTAATGCAAAGCATCCGAACGTCGATTAAGGTTTCGCTGTGAGAATTAAAGTACCCGAAAAAGACAGAGCAAAACTGATGCACGCTCAATTTTAGCTGTGGTTCTTAGTAAAACAGAAGATAGCTTTTATAAATTTGGTACTAAAACGGGTATCTTAAAACAATTGTATGAAAAACCTGAATTCAGTGTTTGCAAAAAGAGATTTTTTACGAAAAAAAGATGTCCCTGCTGTAGAAATATCTTTACGTCAAACAGCAATAAAACAATCCCTTGATACTGGACAGGGTTTCAGAAAATGTGACTGCAAATCTAAATGTACCACAAATAGTTGTGCTTGTCGCAAAAACCAATTGCTATGTAATTCAAAGTGTCACCAATCTTTAGATTGAACTATTAAGTATGCACAATTTTATCATATGTTTTGCAAATTCATTTCCCTAATTGTAATAATAGTTAATAGTGTAATAATTTATATTACAGTAGAGCCTCGATTATCCGACCCAATTGGGGACTGAAGTTGATCGGATAATTGAAAAGTCGGATAACCGAAAAGTATGAAAAAATCCATTATTAGTGTAGTATATATCTAATGTAATTAGTATATTAGTATATCGCTATTAACCTACTTCGCGTTGAATTTTCATCGATGTTAATCCTAACAAAAATTTTTTAAAATAATAGTCGTCGCTATTGTATCGTTGAAAGTTAGAAAATTAAGCCTTGTTTAAATACTGGCTCCCTTTCATGGTCGAATGAGTGTTGCCAATTAAAACACGTAAAAATAATATTAAAGTAGCCAAGACATAGCCAAATATTATCACTAGCGGACATTTGAAATTTGCCGACTAGGACGGTCGGTTAACCGAAGTGTCGGTTGATCCGGGGTCGGATAATCGAGGCTCAACTGTATAATAAACCGTTTGATTTTTGTATTACAGTTTTTTAATTGATTGATGATTGATTCTATCAACTAATTTGTTGATTGTTTGATTGTATTAACTCGATTCTTTAGATATCGATAATTAAATAAATAACATTATGTTAATTTAAACGTACAGAAACGTTGCTGTTTTTCCAGCAAAGATATTATTATCACTTTACCGAGTTCCTGGTAGATTACCTAGATACTCTGCACATTACCTAGGTAATTTGAAAAAAGGAATAATTTTCGCAGCTTTAACGGATTACCCTAGTTAATCTTCATCATCATCATCAAATAATCTTTATTACTTAGCCTGATACCGCTTGGCACAATCAGGTATGAAAATACAGAAATAATTACATTGATGTTACATGCAGATAACAATTGCAAAATAATCCGAAAAC